GTTATAGTCTATTCTGGTACAAGCAGCTCAGCAGTGGGGCGATGGTTTTCCTCATTCGTCAGGACTCTTACAACCAGCAAAATGCCACAGGAGGCCGCTACTCACTGAATTTTCAGAAAGCAAAGAGTTCTGCCAACCTTGTCATCTCAGCTTCACAGCTGGAGGACTCAGCAGTGTATTTCTGTGCCCTGACTGAGCCCACAGTGAGAGGCGTGTTAGAAGGAGGTGTACCAAAACCCCAGGGCTCTGCTTCATGCATCCACCTGCTGTAGGGACCAAGGCGGGGAATTGTAATCACAGACAGGAAGCGACAAGGGCTGTGGCAGCACAGGTGTAGGTAGGGTTAGAGGGAAAACACCCTATGAAAATACCTCTCTAGGTTCATGGAACATGTGTAGAGTTATCATTCATCAAAAACATCCATATCTTTGAAAATTTGGGTTGAAATTGTTTATTGGATATAAAGAAGAGCCACAATAAACAACTTACCATTGGTGACAGATTGAGCTAGAAGAATTGACTAAGGAAATTCAGAAATATCTGACTCAAAAATCAGTAAAACTATGTAAATTGTCAGATTTTCCCTATCAGCTTGTTCAATAAATATTTATTGAGTATATTTTATTTTAAAGGCATTGTTTTTAATAACAAAGGCTATGGAATCTTTATGTTTTTCTCTTTTTTACGTTATGGTCTTTTATATTGATTACTGAGTTAGTTTAAGTTATATTTGTTAGCTGAGGTAAGGTACCCTCATTTACTTTCTAAGGTGCCTACTATGTGACAAACTTTGTGTTCTTCCATCTTATTAATACTCTAGCATGGAAGAGCTCATTTCAGATTTACCTGCCTTCCACCAGTCTTACTCATAAAATGATCAATAATTAGTGGCTCTAGGGAAACCTTGTGAAGAAGCAGTGTGAATTATTTTTTTCTACTCTTGTCCGTAACTTTACCACCATTCTAAAAGCTTTTTGCCATCATATTGCACATTTGCACACTTCCTTGCCCTCTTACTTTGTTTTATCAGTGCTCCACAATCCAAAATCCTCATTCTCCAATAATTCCTCCTTCTATGTCTAACCCCATTGTCTTAGTGCCTTATAGTTTGAATGGTAATGGGTGTTTCATAAGTGACCTTGTATTGTACTCACTTTTATATTTATACTAGAGGCCCGGTGCATGAATTCATGCACATGTGGAGTCTGGCCAGCCTGCCTTGATCAGGGTGATCAGGTGGGCTGGCTGGCGGGAGGGGCTGAGGACAGTTGGCAGCCTGGCCCTGCCCCTGATTGTAATGTGGGGGCTGATGGGGGGTGGGACTGGCTGGGCAGAGGGGCTGTGGGTGGTTTGCTGGCTGGCCTTGCCCCTGGTTGAACTCCAGGTCAAGGGGACAATTTTCATATTAGCCTTTTATTATATAGGATTTGGAAAGCATATGTGCACAGTAGAAATCAGAAAAGGAGTGTGTTTAAAATTTTTAAGTTATTAACATTTTGCCATTTTAATGTAAATTTTTACCATTTTAGGTGTACAATTGAGTGATATCAAGTACCTTACATTGTTGATCAAGAAGCACCACTATCTTATCTCTAGAACGCTATTCATCTTGAAAAACTGAAAATTTCTACTCCTTAAACAGTAACACTTGATTTCCCCAATCCTTCCAGCCTCTGGCAACTACCCTTTGAATTCTCATACTATGAATTTGACTATTTCAGATGCCTCATAAAAGTGGACAAATGCACTGTTGGTCATATTGTAACCTATTGCATCTAGTGTTATATCCCATCTAATAAAAGAGTAATATGCAAATTAACCACCACTTCTCTAAAAAGATGGCGGCACCCACAGCCAATAAGGAGGAAATATGCAAATTGATGCAACAAAGATGGTGGCACTGGCCGGAGAGTGGGAGAGCGGGCGGGAAGGCTTGGCTAGGGGTGATCAGGCCAGGAGGAGAGAGCAGTTGGGGGTGATCAGGCTGGCAGTGAGAGAAGTTGGGGGAGAGCAGGCCGGCACGTTGGGCCAGTTAGGGGTGAACAGGCTGGCGGGGGGACAATTGGGGCTGATCAGGCTGGCGGAGGGGACAATTGGGGCTGATCAGGCTGGCAGAGGGGACAATTGGGGCTGATCAGGCCAGCAAGGGGGGA